CCAATAAAAAATTCACCTCGTACAAACCCTTCTCCTCTCCTCTGAACTGTAAAGTCTGAGCAATTAAAACTTAGAAGAACAACGAATTCAACCCCCATGATGCCCCTCTGGAAGTTATTTAATTTCTTTTTAAGGTAAGTACCTCTCTTGAAATTTAGATATTTGTTCATTTGTTTAATTGTATTTATTTAAGATTGGAGATGGTTTTCTTGAAGATTGTTTGATGGTCTTCATTAAACTATAGTTTACTAATAGTATAAGTATAGATTCTATTATTGATGAACTTTATTATGTAAAAGCTCGCCGAGCACAACTTATTTGAAGAAACAATATTACATGATTTTTTTGAAAATGATGAAAGTTCTAGCCCAGTCTACTCTTAAATTGATCATTATAATATTTTAAATTTATTTTAAAATTTATGTTTTAAATTTAGAATTCATCGTAGACCCCTCTTTTCGGGTCATACACTTATAAAAACAAAAAATCTAAATTGATCAGTATAATTTTTTTTATCAATATAATTCATTATTGGGGTGAAGTGGACAATTGACCTATCTTGAATTAAATTGATAAAAATCTTTTATTTTTAATACACATGTACACTTGTATGGGCAATAATATTAGTAATATTTATCCAAGATCTATTCACAAACTCAAATTTGATTCATTCTTCCATCCAATCATTTTTCACTCGTAACTCACTTTATTCAATCAAATAAAAATTTTCCAACATCTCACGATGTCGTCCGGTGCTTGGGTCGACTCTTGGGTTGGGCCTCGATCTTCCTAGCGGGTCGTTGTTTACTTTCCATGTGGTTTGTCTCATTTTTCCAGTAGCCATGGTGGGGGTTGGGGTTCAGAAGGCTCACCGGTGATTTGCAGCGGCGGCCGCCGATTGTTGCCTTGCGATAGTCGGGGCTAAGGCTAGTGCATTGTTTTTTTTCCCCTGGTCCTGTCCTTTCCTTGGTGTTGGATTGGTGGGTTCCTCCGTTGGGGCGGCTATCGTCTCCAGTCGTCTAGACTAGCAGTCGTCGGTTGTGTAAGAGGAGGAACTGGATGCGGGTCTCCAGGTGTGACTCGATGGTGACCATGTGAGAGGGCTTTGGTATGTTGACCTGGATCTAGTTAACCGTAAAGGGAGTTTCTAGATCATGTTGTTTGGGTCGTGGGCGGTTCTCTTAGGTGATCGCCTTGGGTGTTGGCTTGATTGGTGGTGGGGAGTGGCTTTCAAGCTGGTGGGAAGGGTCTTTTTCTAGCTATTAATTAGTTTCTTTATGTAAGTTTTGTGTGTTTTTGTGTTATTTTCTCCTTCTTGGTAGTCTTAGTCTCCAATTGTGAGAGTCTATATTTTCACATGTGGGGGTTTTTTAGTTTTAGTTTTTGTGTGTTCTGTTCGTTGGATTATGTGTTTTAGGCTACCATTGGTGTAGTCCTCCAACTAATTCAATTGTGTTGCTAAATTATTCAGATGATTAGTCATTTTTTAGTCTGTAATTATGTGTTATTACTTCTTATTTATAAAGTATGTCATTAAAAAAACATATAAAAAATAGGACAATGCTACATGTACAATTGTAGTTTACAACATTAGTTGACAACTTAGTTAAAAGTATCATTAACTCAAATCTCAACCATACATTTATTTGCATCTCAACCACCCACATCATGCCACATCATGTTGTCATTAAATGTTGTACAAATAGCTTTTTCCTAAAAAATAAGATGGTAAAGTGCATTGTCCTAGGTAAGAACAATAGTCTTTTTTTCTTTTTTTTTTGCCAAAAGGTAAGAACAATAGTCGAGAGGTAAAAAAATACACCGTAGATGGAAATTGGAATCATGGTGAAATGGAGTTTTTAATTTTTCCTAAGATGGCGCATGAAATTTAGTGTACAATGTCAAAAAGGACACCTAACATTACTGATCTCTCTCACACACGACAAACTTGTCTCCTTAAAAGAGCGACGTTTGTGCTCTCTAATACATTACCAAACAAAATTGCCANCGATAAAATTCCCCTTCAACCTCTGTAAACACACACGTCCACATACAGAGTCACATATTCGAGGACTTCGACAAGAATTTCAAAATTTCAAGTTCACTCGTTCATCCCGCTTAATTACATTAATGAAATCCGGCACCTTTTACGGACACTAATGGTGGCCGGTTGTGACAGGAGAGATATCCACCGGTGCCAGAATACAGCCTGCGGAGGCGCGGAAGCCATTTCCGCCAGAAGGCTCACGGCGTTGCTGTGGCGGTTGTCCGCCACTGCAAATGAAGTCACGAATGGGGCCGGACTTGAGGTAATCGAATTATTTCATCTCGTTTATTTTTTTTATTGTTTTTTCTTTTCAATTTTTTCTGCACTCGATGTGTGTATGTGCTTCCTTTATTTTGGCTAATTAAATTATGAATAAATTATTTCGGCTCTGTTTTTGTCAAATTGTTAGTTAGCTCTGTTCTGTTTATAATATTTTCGTTGTACCATTTTCTGATATATTTTTATTTGAAATTCTGTGATTGTAATCAAAGTTATGCTCATCAATCCCAATCCCTAATTGTCCAACGGAAGGGGCTACAAAATGGGATTATTGCAACTCAAAAGCATCACATAAGACCATCTATTTTCTCGGCAATTTCAGAAGTATGGATCCGTTCAACACGAAAAACTGCATAGCTACCACAAAACACAGCATAAAGAAGGCAACTGACGAAAAGATGAAAACACAACACCGAAAAACGAGTTTAATGGTCGAGAATTTAAAGGATGGTCTTAAAATTGAAAGGAAAAATGGGAAAAAGGTTAACATGGAAAATTGGAAGCTGTCGCGTGATGTTGCAGAGGCCAAAATGTCAGCGAGAAAATTCATGCACAATCTTGAGAAGGAGAAGAAAGCTAGAAAAGTATTGGAGGATATGTTCAATAAGCTAGCTATAGAAATCGAACACTACAAAGTCGAAATTGGGGCTTTGAGGAGCGAGAGAGAGAAAATTGAAGAAGACGTGGAAAACGAGAGGAAAATAATGCAGTTGGCCGAGGTTTGGAAGGAGGAGCACGCGCAAAAAAAGCTACACGACGCAAAACTGATTTTGGAGAATAAGTTTTGCGAGATGAATAATTTGATATCCGAGATTAAATCATTCTTGAGCGAATCGAATTCGAAAAGGCAATCTTATGATGGTGTGAATATCCGAGGCATTAGAGATTTTTCGCATGTCCTCCCGAAATCAAACAAAATCTTCACTAACAAAGGAGAAAATTCATGTAGCAAAAGAAGTGTATATTCAAATGAATGCCCATGCGGAATGGAGACCGTGAATAAAACCAGAAAGAGCAATTATAAGTCGAATTCATTTGATTTAGAAAGAGAAAAATTCATGCATCATGGATGTCGAAGCTCCAAGTCTAGTGGAACTTCGTCCGTCTCATTAAATCGACCAAAGGAGAAAGAAAGTTTATCTTCTCATAAGCTTCAAAGGGAATTGAAGAGAAATAAAGATGCACGCAAGAAAATATCGAGTGATTTGAGTGGAAGAATTTCAAATTGTTCAGTATCCTCGATTTTATCCATGGATGAAGGTCAAGTTAAATTATGGAAAAACCCGCATGTTGTTCGGGCTATGAACGGTCATATAGAATGGCCAGGGGAGATCAAAAAGCATGGCTCGTCTGAGGGCAGCTTTCTCGAAGCTAAGTTGAAAAGCCAGAAAACAATATTGCGCGGTGTACTAAAACAGAGGAGTTTAAGTAGTAGTTTTGAATAAATGTTGCATTTTGTATTATCTTTTAGTTCTTAAGAGTAACAAAACTTAATTCTCTTTGCTCTCCCTGCCATGTTTTGAGAATTCAAACTACATTTTATGATTTTACTGCTATCAAAAGGGCAGAGTCAGAGTGTATCTTGTGGCGATCGTGGCAAAGTATTGGCAAAATAGTAAGATTAAATGTCTGAATGCTGGTTGTGTTCATCTTTTTGTTTGAATCATATATTTGGACACTATTTTTTTTTTTTTAAAGTAAATGGTTTATGCAATAGTTTACACTGTTCTGACCATAAAAAAGTATTTTATATTTTGGGTATTACATTTTGATGAGCTTATTACGTTTTTACTTTTTATCTCACGCTTGTTTGTGGACAAATTGTATGGGCCCTTTTTTCTAGAAAAAATCTAAAATAGAATGCCGAAGAGTTTACTTGAAAAGACAAAAGGAAAGACTCTGTAACGAAACTATTTATTATTGATGGCCATTGATTTGTTGTTGTCATTCTTGAAAAACAAGGATCCGATGTATATAGTTTGATCCACTCATCATCTCAGGTTCCTTTTTATATATGGTGCTCCAGTTTTCTTGATACAACTATATAAGGGAAATTATTCATTTTAATTTTCAAATTCCGATCCTTTTCTTTTAGAAGCAGTGGCAAGATCATTTCAACTGAAATCTCAAAAATTTAAGCCTTTGTAACTCTATCTCATAAAGTTGCTATCAAACCTTTGAATTTCAAGCCTCTGAATGAGATGAGGTTTTTGTTCAAACTCGGCACGTACCGAACATTTGTCAAAACTCTGGTGCATCCATCGTGATTTTTCAAACAAATTGACGAATCACTCCCTTAGGGGGATACATATGATAGGTGAATCCAGAATTCAAAATTCATTCGTCTGGATGTGATGATGAAGGTGAAACCACAAGTAAAATTTTAAAGTCTTCACTTCCACCCTCGACAACATACACATCTTGAGGTAATTTACCCTTCTTCAACTTAAGTCCACATCCGTCTTTGTCAAGCTTGGTCATGAAACGTAATCTTCCCCGTTTATTCTTATTTTGGCTCTTCGACCGATTTCTTGCAACCAGTGCTTCATCTTCTGTTGTTGCATTCTTCAACTCCTGTTTTTCCATCTTCCTTAATTCATAGCTATATAGAACAGACCTAACCACTGCAAGAGTTATATTGTCCTTCCCGTGGAGCATGGTAGTCTACAAGTGCACGAACTCATCGGGAAGAGATGATAACAACATTAAAGTCAGATATTCATCGTTGAATGTGATGTCCAAGTTCAACAAATTTACAAACAACTGATTGAATGCAGTGACGTGTTCATTTGCCATGTCGATACTCAAATAAGAACAATCTATTTTTCATGAGGATCTTATTCTAACCTCTCTTCTTCAGAATTTTGTCCTCCTAAGCCTTAATAAGGGTGTGGGCAGAGTTCTCATTCTTGAATGCGTACTTTTGCTCTCTGGATAAACATGAACAGATTGTTTCACATGCTAAGTTGTTGATATTATTTAGTTCTCCTCGTCAATGTCGGATGGTTTCTCTTCTTCAATGGCAATATTAACGTCTTGTTGAAATAGACAATCCAACACTTTTCCTTCCCATATGCTGAAATGACTAGTCCCACTAAAGATCTCCACTGGGACGTCTGACGTTCGGAATCACCGTTCTTGATGAGTGCATAGGATGATGCCCCCTTGATCTCCTTGACCATCTCGAACGTAAATGCAATGCTTGCCTCACTAAACGAGCCTCAAATGAACTTTCAGCTCTGGTACCACTTGTTTGGGACAAGGGCAACGAAAAAAAAAATATACCCCACAACAAATAATGACAAGCTAGCACTACGACCAACGGAAAAAAATCAATATAAATGAATAGAAGACGAGAAATAAAAAATATAGAAAATTGATAACGGAGTTCGGCCTATACTGTGGGCACCACCAAATTTATCAAACTCACCAACAAAATACAATTAGGGTTAAAGTTTGGATTATTTATAAGATACCTTGTCACTTTTGACCAGATATTTTAATAACACAAAATCTAACTTAACCTAACTCTCCTCAATATTATAAATATAATCATATAATATAAATTAATCATCCTCACACATCAACTTTAATTCACCATTCATTCAATCACATAATTCTAACTACACATCACTTCTAATCATTTTTGTTCTATTTTTACATCAAATCAACTTTAATCATTATATTTTAAACATAATCATACTCACAAATTCCCCCCTCACAGAAAAAGTTCGGACTGGATGGTCGTCAGCCAGACAGTCGACCTTAAAGAAGAAGAGGGGGAATTTGTGTATGAGGGGCCCCCAAAGGGCGTAGTCTATCTTCCTTGTCGTCTGCCCTGGAGAGAGGGCTTCTCGGGGAGGAGCACGAACGGAGCTTAATCCAAAAAATAGGAAAGGATTTTAATAAAAATTCAAAATTTCACTCAAACCGAACCTGAATTTTTCAAAATTGCATCTGGTTAAACAAACCCAATCTAAATCAAAATAACTTATATCCCATCACCCCTTAAATAACCCAGAACGTAAGATTCCTTAATTAAAGATTTCTTTCTAAGATGTGAGAGAAGAGAATAAGGTGCAATTGTAACTCAAACGACCGACATATTTATACTAAACAGATTTTATACATCTTTAATATATATCCAATGTGGAGCAAATATTAATTCAAAATGGTAGACTGAGAAGAAGCTCTTGAAGATCAGAAGCTGGCTTGGACAATGTGTTGAAGCTGGATGGGAGGAGATTATTATCAAGTGTGGCAACAAAGGCTTGGTCCAAGCACTTACAGCAAGAACTACCCTTCAGAAATGAGCACTCCTGAGGATATTCATAGTTTGGGCTCTAAATTTGTGTCCTGTTTGTTTATCTAGTTTAGTTTGTTTTTGGAGTGGTATAGTGTTGTGTGGTTTGTGGATTGTTTCTAGTTTGTTGTGTGATCTTTGTGTTTAGTGTTGTGTGATATTGGGAGTGACCATGCTTGGTCTTGGCAGGGGTGGCTCGTTCTATTCCCGTATGTGTTAATCCTTTGATTACCGAACATTATATCTTTGAGTTCGTGCTATGGAAGTTTATTGTT